ATGATTTCCATGATAAACATCGAAAAGAAGTTCCAATGCGCTTTCACGTTTTCCTGATTAAGCTGCTCGCTAAGGCAAATTGTGGCAGAGATTGAAGAGGGATATCAGAGCCCACAGGCGGAAATACGTAGAAGATTTAGCGATGACTACTTATGGAGCTGAAAGATAAGGAATCCTGAAGACAGAAGGAAAGGAGAAAGTTCAAAGAACACAGCGTTGGGAATTGGAAGCAAGAATCAAATTAATGAACAGCAATTAGAAACAACTTCAAAAGACTGCTCAGTATATATTTCGATGAAGAATCCTGCTGGGCAATCTATGCTCTTCTGCGACAGGTGGCAAGTGCATGTAAATAATACGATACAATTAATAAACTAGCAAGAAAATGTCGAAAAAGAGAGAGATCAGTCAAAGACGGTGAAGGCAAAACAATCACTGAGATTCAAGAACAGAGGAACAGATAGGTGGGAAACTGAAGAAATAATGAGTAGGCCAGTCCACCTGAGACCACCACATACACATCTTCTTATAGATGTCACTGCAACAACAACAAAACAAATCAGTATGATCATCAGACAAATCAATAGTGGAAAAGCAGCAGAATTTCATAACATACTAGCTGAAACACTCAAGTCAGACATATAAATAACTGCGCAGATGTTCCGTGTTCGATTCAGGAAGATTTGGGAGGAGGGACAATTGCCGACAGACTGGAAAGGACACCTCATCAATATAGTAAACAAAACAGATCTCGGTAAGTCCGAGAACTACAAAGACAGCACACTACTACTATCAGTATCAGGAAAAGTTTCAAACAGAGTGTTCTTAAACCGCATGAAAGATTCAGTAGACGCCCAACTTCCAGATTAATAGACTGGATTTCCTAGGGATCGATCATGTACTGACCAACTCACAACAATACGGATCGCTGTTCAACAGTCATTTGAATGGAACTCGGCACTGTTCATCAACTTCCTTGACTATGGGAAAGCACCTGACACTACTGATAACAGAACATTATGGAACCATCTTCAATACTATGGAGTACCTGAGAAGATTATCAACACATGTGGATAAACTTTAATTGACTCATCAATTCTTATGACGGACTACTCTGAAAAGTCGTGTATGGAGGACAGCTCACAGATGCATTCCAAGTGACTACCGGTGTCAGACGAGGTTGCTTACTCTCACCGTCCCTCTTTCTCCTGGTGGCGGTCTACTGGATCATGAAAACCTCCACATCTCATGGGAAGCATAGAATACAATACAGAGATTATATGCAACTAGACGATTCGGAATTGGCTGATAATCTAGCTCTCCTATCCCCTACACATCAACAAATCTAAGTGAAAATAGTCAGTGTAGCAGCAGCAGCAGCCTCTGCAGCAGTAGGCTACAATATACATAGTGAAAGACCAATATCCTCAAGTACATTACAGAGAACACCAACTCAATCTCACTTCATGGAGAAGCTGTGGAACAGGTGGAAACTCTCACATATCTGAGCATCATCATCGATGAACAAGGAGGAAATGATGCAGATATAAAGGGAAGGATTGACAAAGTAACGGCAGTATTTCTACAGTTGGAGAACATATGAAACTCAAAATAACTATCAGTCAACACCAAAGTCAGAATCTTCAATACAAACGTCAAGACAGTTCTATTGGAGAACTACCACAACCATCATGAAGGAAGTACAAGTATTTGTAAACAATTGTTTATCCAAGTAACAGAAGCCCCTTCAACAATGAGATCTACATTCAAATGCCCCTAAAGTTATTAGGCAATCTTTTGCGATATCTTAGATGTGAGAGTCTTATGGCAAAAAAGTTTAAGAAAAATCATTTCCGATAGCTCTCATGGTAGCTCGTGGTTTAGGGTTGTCGATGTTTCTGGGGCTCTGTTTCATATTCTAAGCAAACAGAATCCCAGATTATTCTGTTGTCTGCATTATGACAGATTTTGGTATTCCGTTCTAGGAAACAGGGTGTCGAGAGGTATCAAGAAGCAAAATAAGTCATATGAAATTTCATCACATACAGTATTCAATCGGTCAGTGCATAACACCTCAATGTAGTTAAATAAGATTCGTTACTGGGTATCTTTAATTTTGGTGGACTTCACGCCCACTGTTTGGGTGAGTTTACTTTAGTATCACACAGATGTCTGTACTAAAGTGCGATATTCATTAATTTGTATTACGTAGTGAGGTTTATGAAGTACCACGAGGCCATATTGAATGGCGATATCGTCCCCATCATTACTCTTGTTAAGAGGGCTGAGGTTAGATACTGCACATTTTGTCCAGTCGCAATGTTTCATCTTTTATCGTCAGCATTGCTGCATTCGTGGCTTTAGTAACATGTCCAGTGTTATGTAAACTGTGGTTGCAGCCCAAGGTTGGTGAGGATAGCTAGCAGAAATATAAGCGATATTTATTTTGATTATAGTCTACACGGACATTTGTGTAAAGTTCTTTTAAGTATAGACTTGGATGCATGAGTGTTCTTGTTTGTGAAACTCCCCACATACATTTATCTTATGTAATGATAACGCCTTGTTTTACACCCAAGAATTAAACCGTGATTTTCAGGACCCCCATCTGCATATTTCTTCTCTCTCTAGTCTTCAGATGAAATCGTTATGTTAGGTCTACTTCAAATTTGGTTTTCTCAGTTTACCACCTCACTTTGTCGCTTTTATGGTGGAATGTTTTAGTCTGATTTTAATTTTTCTGAAAGTTGGGTGGCTGCCATATGACTTCCTAAGGTTTAAACAGCTGCTATAAACGGGCTGGATTGACCTATCATATAACGCCATATTAATGCTAATTGTTTGTTGGGGGTGTCCTTTTTTATTGAGAAAAGTATCTAACTCATTCCTCAAAGATCGATTATCTGATAATTACAGAGCACAAGGTCTGCATCAAACGCCTAGCTGACTGGTTTTGAACGGCCAGTTCTTAAATAACAAAATTAAATCCCTAGTTTGTCAGGGACATACTTTCCCTTCAACGTATTTTGAAAGCACTAACTTTCACTAAATAACCCTTTCGGTTGTATAGGCTGGTGATGTTACCAGCTTAAATATGTTATGCGGTTCATATCTACAGTCCTCGTAATTAGAATCGCATCTAACGTGAGACATGTATTTTGAATTTACCTGTGAGGAGGGATGAGTCTCCAACGTTTAACTGTAGGCTACACATAATCCAAACTGTACCGGCTTGAACTAAACAGTCAGAATATCTGAAAAAATAAATTAGGTTAAGAATTATAGGTTAGCCTAAGATATTAATAACATTCACATGGTCACTAATTATTCGGCTGCTGTAAAATTGTAGTTATGCATACATATGTAGTCAGTTTCTGCATTCGTCTGGTACTAGTGGTAGATCAACAGTTTCCTCTGGTTCTTTTCTGTGTAAATCAACAAATGGATCATCGCGATGATAATTTGGTCCATGGAATGCTTATTACTTCCTTCCTGGCTGGTTTCTATGAGATCGGACTATTTTTACACACCGATTAGAACAATTGTAAAAAGGCGGGGGAAAAGCTTTACACGAAAATTAGTTTATTTAAAGAACATCAAGAGCATTTATAAATCGACGCGTGATTATAGTTTGCTAAACTTTTCTGAGAACATGCTAAATATAAAAACGTTACAGATAATTATTCACCCAAAAACGTGACATTTGACTCTTCATTTTTTCCAATATTCCTGAGGAGCTTCTATTCATTGTTGATTGCATAAAAGAGTTTTCGGAATTTCGGGCTTCTATAGGTTTCAGAGGGGAATATCTCATGATCCTTCAACAGTTGCTATATTTCAAGAACATATTGAAGTTTATAATAAGATTTTTGGCACCGTTCGGAACAGTGTGGCGAACGAACAACCAAGATCACGTCAATCAATCTTAAGCAAGCTAAAGAATGAAGTGACACAAAAAAGCCATATATCATCTACAAAATGGATAGCTCCAGCTGAGGAAAAGAATATCGAATAAAGAAAACCTCATCTTTATCTTCATTTGCGTGTATGCCAACACGTTGTCAAATGCCACGATATATCTTCGCTTATATCAATGCACGTGGACAGTTATGAACACAGGTCTGACTGGGAAAAGATTGTGATATTGGTTAGAGAGAATATTGATTGTGCAGCAGAGTCTCCAAGACTTTATCACTCAAGTTAATTGGTAATCAATAAATAAATTGAAATAGATCAAATTTTTCAACCAATTAAGAATGATCAAGAAGAATCGTAAGGACAAAAATCAGATCGACATGAATTGCAACCAAAACAAGAGTGCAAACAGTGACAGTCTAGATTAAGACTGACAGAACGGCCTGTAGTAAATGTGTGTGCGAAGTCAAGTAGCTCCCATGTATCAGAAGTTGTCCAGGAGGTTGATGAAATTCTCACAAATAAACCACACAGATGAAGGAACCGAACTCCGCTAAAATTATCTTTATGAACTGCATATCTTCTATACTGCACTCACCACTAACCGAACGGGCGTCAGTAAATGCCATCAATATACTTATTTGGTGTTTCGGACCCTAAATAAGTTTCAAATGTTCTTTATAATGTACAGACTACTGAAAACTCCCCCACCGTAAATAATCCTTGAGAAACCTATGTAGCTAACAAATACACATTGCTTGAGAGAAAGAGAACTTATGAAGTATTTTCTATAGCGTTTAATAGAGAGAAATGCTGTGGAAACGAAGCAGCACGAATGAATGTGTAATTTTAAGTATATAACTTATATATTAAGTAAGTGAACGTTTGCACTCGTAATCTTAAGCTTGCAGTGGAGTGATTTCATTTAAATTGTTGCAGAAGTAGTTGCTAATAAACCTGCATTCGGCTCAATTGATTCATAAACAACCTGTGAAAACGTTGACATTTGCATTTGTTTAGTGCAGCCAGCCGCGGGCGCTTGAGATTCAATTGTATTTGCGCTCGGATTCTAAAGCTCTATAGTTATGCCATCGAAGAACAGCCGGGAGTCTGAAGAAAGTGCAGGTGAAGATGAATTTCAGGTGGAAAAAATCCTGAAGGTTCGTATAAGAAATGGACGAAAAGAGTACTTCCTCAAATGGAAGGGTTACTCAGAGGAGGACAATACATGGGAGCCAGAAGAAAACTTAGATTGCCCTGACTTAATCAAGGTAAATTTTCAAAAGATGTAAATAAGATTGACGATAAGTACCTATTTCAATCGTAAGCAGTGTATTCCGGCTGCATTTTCGTTTAAGTGTGATAATCTAATTCTTTTGATCATCATAACCCGAGTTCCCAATTTTGGGAAAGCCACTGTAGTAAAGTTTGGGGAAATAGCACCAAAACACCGGAATTTCCCCAAATCTGAGGAAATTCCCGAATATTTCCCTAGATTTCCTCTTTAACCTTGGTGAAGGGGGTTTCCCCATAATTCCGCTGAAGAAAAATATACTCTTCCTACTTATATAAAATTACGACACACAATTAGGTTTGTGGTTTGAAACTTATGGCCCCTCAAAGACGTAACTCCTGGATTTATTAACTTTACAGGAATTCGAAGAAAGACGAGCTCGTGAAAGAACCTCACTTACTAGCCCTGCCAGGACTTCGAGTGCTGACTCTAAACTAAAAAACAGATCTAAAGGATCGTCACTCAGTTCAGATAGCGCTAAGGACATTAGTGAAGAAGTACCCGAACCAGCAAAGAAAAAGCGAACATCCAGCATACCTGCGAGTGTGGAAGAGTCAGCTAGCGAAGTGCCAAATGTTCCAGATGAACCAAAGGAACCTGCAAACGAAGACCAGAAGGTAATTTTTCAAAGTATTCACATATTGAGTTGATTATGTACACTTGTTTTTCGTACGACTGTTCTAATGAATAGTTTCATTTCACTAATGCTGTAAATATAGTTGTTTGTGATTATTAAATTGTTAGCGGTCTCAAGACGGTCGTTTTGTGTTCTCTTCTAGCAGAAAGTTGTCAAAGCGACTGGGAAAACGCGCGGATTTGCTCGAGGGTTAAAAGCTGAAAGGATTATTGGAGCTACAGACTCAAGTGGTGAACTGATGTTTTTGATGAAATGGTAGGTCCCTGACTTTGTGATCTTGGCACGTATTTTTTACTTTGAGTAGTGACTCGATGCGTCACACTTATTGTCTTGTGTTTTTTTTAGGAAAGATTCTGATGAGGCTGACTTGGTACCTGCTCGCGAAGCAAACATCAAATGTCCACAAATCGTTATCCGTTTTTACGAAGAAAGACTAACCTGGCACACACCTGAAAATCGGCCTTCTGGGACTCCGCGTTCTGGATCCACCACTCCAAGCGCTGCAACTGCAGCAGCACGCACTTGACTTTCAAAATCGTTTTGCATTTAGCCAGTGACATGGTTTTAACTCCTTTTTCACCACGCATTTCTGTAAAGATGTCATTTTGCCTATGTATTATACCAGATGTACGTTTTCTTACTACCTACTCGTTTCTTATTGATTGATTACAAATCTACATTGTTTTGATCTCGGTTTTCGATTCAAAGTCCGCTAAACGGGTCACATGTCGTAACTTAATATTTGTCTAACAATTCTTAAGGTCAGGCGTAGTATAGGCTATGAAAGTAAGTCATATGATGCATCATGCCCTAACTCCTATCGCGTGGAAGTAGAACTGTTTATCGTCCAGACAAATTTGGGAGGATTGTGTGGCTTATATATCATACAGACGGGGTACTACTCGAAGTTATCCGTTGATGGCAAACGAATAGTCATCGATGTACCGGTCTGAAATCTACCTCGAACTTAGTGAGACCGTAGCGGCGTCATTTTGCATAACAGTCTGACGCACTGCACTAAGAGTCTGTTCATTTTTTATACGATGCATCAGGCCGTTTATCAAAGTCGACCAAGGCTCTCCGTCACTGCCATCCTCTCTATGTCTCCAGTTAGGTCCTTGGTTGGAGAGTTCTAACTCGACCTCCCTGTGTCATCTCAATAACGAACGATTAGGTAGAAAGGTTTAAATGTCTTGAAGACGGTTGAGATCGGACTTTCTTCAAGCTACCTGCTTGATTCAGTCGAAGTATCGCTGGTAGTGGTGCTCGCCTCCGTAGATACCCAGAGTAGAGCAGGTTAAATGAGGGCTTAAAATAACGACAGCCATCAGTATTTCTGAATCCCCGAAGTAGTTTTTTCTGCAAGCGGCTACTATCTCTTGCTGATAGTTTGTCGATATTCAAGACACCATCAATGCTCGGCACGGTCTGACAACACGATTGGGTCCTGATTACTGCCGAAAGTCTCCAACAATTGGAGAGACGTGTTGGGGTATATCCACTTACTTTTTATAACAAGCAAGTATATGAGTACTTAGGTTAGATATTCCCACGAACCGCATTGGTGATTCTCAAGAAGCCAATCTTAGGTTCTGGAGTGCAGTTCAGAATCTGCAAAATAATGGGTGGAGGGCAGTCTCCGATTGATTCTTGTTCAAAATTCGAGGAAAGCAAATCCAGTTTTTGTTTTTGCTTCGAAATGATTCGGCAACGCGTTTGAAAAACATTCACTCGACTACTAGTTGCACTTCGAATCTTATCTAGGATTTTTCAGTATGCGCTCATGAATGCATCTTTCAGCTCATAATGAGCCTATTTAGTTGTCATTTGAGCTATACATTTCATATTTGCATGACCACTCTAAGCAACAATGCAAGCATGTTCGGCATGCGATTCTCCCACTCGAAATGCAAGATGTTGCTTCAGGATTGGGTTGCATCGACACCCGAACTAATGAAGTAGTTGAGTGTGTCGACCGCTTCACTTATCTTGGAAGTCTTATCAGCCCTTGTGATCGGGTGTGTGACGAAATCTCAGCACAGATACAGAAGGCTCGATTAGCTTTTGCCAACATGCGTCATTTATGGCGTAGGCGAGGTATCCGTCTACCAACCAAAGGACGTGTTTACTGCGCAGCAGTTCGTTCCGTCCTACTTTATGGCAGTGAAACGTGGCGGGTAAGAGTAGAGAATATTCGTAGGTTACTAGTATTCGATCATAGGTGTCTTCGAAACATTGCTCGTATATCCTGAGACCATCGAGTAAGTAACTCAGTTGTCAGGAAACGGGTACTAGGTAAGGATGGCAAATCGATTGATGAAGTGGTGAAACTTCATCAGTTGAGATGGCTGAGACACGTGTTACGTATGCCCAACCACCGACTGCCTCGACATGCGATGTTCAGTGGTATAGGAGTAGGTTGGAAAAAGTTAGGGGCGGCCAGACCAAAACATGGCACAAATCCATGAAGTCACCGACAAGTGGACTGAGTCATGTTGGTAGGTGTAGACTACGTGGTTGGGTACCGCGAGACGATAGCAGCCGATGGTTAGAGACCCTGAATGACATGGCTCAAAATCGTTTGAAATGGCGCAGGTGCATCCACTCTCTGTGTTCTCCCAAATTCTAATCTTCTGAATTCTTCATGTCCGTTCCTTTTTCCTCTTTCCAAATTTATTTCACTGGATTATATTCTTTAAATAACATCTCCGAACCCTAATCTTCCCGATTACTGCTTATACTCTTATTACCTCTACCACTACGAGATTTGAATCGACAACTGCATCTCTGTGCTAAAGTGGTATGGCAACTCGAACTGATGTACGTACGTATGAAGTTCTACGTTGTTACTGACTGACTGATTTACATGAAAACCGGGAATGACACTCTGTAACTAATGCAATCTTGCCAACTATGTGATTTGAGATCTATTCGCCATCAATCTCACTTTCGAATTCATATGAAATAAAGAAACTTTTTTAAACAGTGACACTTAATTTGGTTCATAATAGAAAATTCACTTGGTGATTGTATTGGACTCTCAAAGGTCAAATCACCTCCCACTTGACATAATACAACTTCCATGGATCTTTTTGAACCGATATGCATCTATTGTGTAATCTACAAGAAGATTCCAACCTTATGATCAATTTTTGGACGGAATACCCAAGACCAGAAGTATAGGGAACAAAATAAATAATAATTACAAACCTAGAGCTATAAGGTATCCAAATCTAAATGAATAAGACTGGAGTTGTCGGAAAGTAAATCACCCTTATTCTGCATACTCTTGAATACTCAAATAAATTATTAGTGGATATACTATGTTTTTTTGTCTGGGAACGCAGTAATGATAAGCCTTACTCCTCAATTGAATGATATCCAGTCTCTCCTGTCTGGTTTACTCTACTTCGGTTTGGGTATCCCGGCCCTTACATAAACTGAGTGATTTGTGTGGCGTATATCTATTTGATGCCACCCTGTACCAATGTTTATGTGTTTAAATGGATAAATAGAATTTGAAATAGCCCAACGAAATACTCGTAATCCCAACAAGTTTAGGACCTCGACAGAACATAAGCAAGAACTCCAGCTTAAAGCGCCCATTATGAAATCCCTTTGTATTATCATAATAGGTTTAAACAAAACATAAAATATCTAATTTTACAATCGGTGCATCAGTTTTTCACCACATTTGCCTTTCCGGTTTACCTAACTTGTTTTTACACTGGCTTCAGGTGAATCAACGTCAATAATTCATAAAAAGTAACTTGGGAAGATTCGTTCTAGAAATTAAGTTGAATTTTAATGCAATTTAGTAAGATTATTACCCTTAAATGAGTGAATAAGAATATAATCACTAGGAGTACTATAGATTAGCATATAGAGAAGTATCAAATGAGAATATCAATAGATAATGACAAAGAGTTTGATTCTACCTCTCAAAAATAAGAGAACCATTCATTATAAACGACATTTCAGAGAAGAAAAACCACTAAAAATCTAATAATATTGATTAAACAAAACATCTATATAGGTCTAGAAATTGATAAATAAGTAGATACTTGCGACTGTACCTTGATAACAGTGCATGAGCTACGAAAATGAATTAATATAGCTCAAACTACTGATTGTTCGCAAGTAGTATAGCGCAAAACAAGCAAGACAAAAATGAGCAAAATAAATGTAACCATAGCTTTCAATGCCAAGGTTGAAATTGATAGTTTCAAATAAATTTAGCATTCGGTAGAAAATTAATAATCTGGGTAGTGAAATCATGTCAGGAATTTCGCTACTGTATTCTCACCTCTGTTTCTGTTTAACTAAATCATCTGTTTGAATAATGGACATGTATATCCATTCATTGTTTGGTAATCATAAGCAGTTTGACTTGATAATTTCAAATAAACTGAACAGCTAAATGAAGCTAAAACAACAGTTGTGGAAGTTAGGCATTCTCGTGAGAGACCGGAGGTCCTGGTTTCGAGTTCCGAGTGAGGGATCGTAGATGTGCACTGCTGAGGATTCCTATACTAGGACGAAACGGCCATGCAGTGCTTCCAGGTCTCTGATGGTGGTCTAGTTTAGACCGACTCATGAGATCTACTATTGAAATTATAGAATAAGAATACCAATCCATTAAATTTCATGATTTCTTATCAGCTGCTTTCGACCACTGATTTGCATCAAAGTGTCACATTGAGTTATGATAGAAAATGAGGCAACTGACTTTGATGACGAAATGGTTTAGACTAACAAATATTGTCAATTATACCCGGAAATGAAAATATGTACTCTGTTCGTGCAATATATGCACTTTGGCAAGTACATATAAATTGGTAAATGCAGCTAGAGACAATGAGAAGAGGACTTGTCGATATTTGTTCGTTTCGCATAACGTCACTTAATTCATACTTCACCCGGTGCTTATGAATTGGAATCCCATCTTCGGATTATCTCACACCAGGTCACTCACAGATATATATAGTAATTAGATTCACTTGTATCTTCCCATTGTTTAAAACTGCAATTGATCAGTCTCTTATTGGCATATGTGCATCCTGTACGGATTACATCGATATTAACTTAAGTCACAAGCATTTTAAGCAAAAAATGGATAGTGGCTAGTAGTGGGATCCAGGATGTCAGTTTCGTCCTATTTGTAACTCATCAGCTGGATGTACCTGGATCCCAGAGTTGATGATAATCTTTGTTACTTTAATTCCTTCCATCATCACTTTCGTTTATCATACTTCAATGCTACACTTTAATATATATGGTCGTAAGCAGCTTTACGCCGAGTAATCAAGACAGACATGAGAAGAATGAACAAAAATTGAATAGAACTAGAAAAGAAGGCACAGGACAGAGTGCGTTGGAGAATGCTGGTCGGCGACCTATGCTCCATTAGGAACGTAAGCAGCTGATAAGAAACCATGACACAATTTCGTGGATTGGTTGAAGTTAGGAATTAAATAAGTCAAATATAAGAATGGATTTTTGAATATGTATATTTCATGCACTTAT